TCCAGCCGCCGAGGCTCACAAACGGCGCCTGTCTGTCTGTCTGTCTGTCTGTCTGTCTATAGCTGTCTATAGCTGTCTTCCAGCCGCCGAGGCTCACAAACGGCGCCTGTCTCACAAACGGCGCCTGTCTGTCTGTCTGTCTGTCTGTCTGTCTGTCTGTCTGTCTGTCTGTCTGTCTGTCTGTCTGTCTGTCTGTCTGTCTCTCTGTCTCTCTGTCTCTCTGTCTCTCTGTCTCTCTGTCTCTCTGTCTCTCTGTCTCTCTGTCTCTCTGTCTCTCTGTCTCTCTGTCTCTCTGTCTCTGTTCTGTTCTGTTCTGTCTGTCTGTCTGTTCTGTTCTGTCTGTTTGTCTGTCTCTCTCTGTCTGTCTGTTCTGTCTCTCTCTGTCTGTCTGTTCTGTCTCTCTCTGTCTGTCTGTCTGTCTGTCTGTCTGTCTGTTGTCTGTCTGTCTGTCTGTCTGTCTGTATCTGTCTGTATCTGTCTGTATCTGTCTGTATCTGTCTGTATCTGTCTGTATCTGTCTGTATCTGTCTGTATCTGTCTGTATCTGTCTGTATCTGTCTGTATCTGTCTGTCTGTCTGTCTGTCTATCTGTCTGTCTGTCTGTCTGTCTGTCTGCCTGTCTCTCTGTCTCTCTCTCTCTCTCTGTCTCTCTCTGTCTCTCTGTCTCTATCTGTCTGTCTCTGTCTGTCTGTCTCTGTCTGTCTCTGTCTGTCTCTATCTGTCTCTGTCTGTCCCTTGAGCATTCTTCAGGGCAGGCCTTCTCCAGCGCGCTCCCCCAGCATCCGGCTGGGGTCGGCGGATTTTACAAAACAAACAAAATCACGTTAGAGGAAATGGCTGAGTTCGGTCTAACATGTCGCCAAACATCGAGCATGCCATTCAGTTGCCTTCCGAAACAGCGAAAAATGTAGATCCAATGGTCCAATCAGATCCATATAGATCCATTGCTCAAGTGACTCAAGTGACTTCACATCCACATCATCCACGGTGTCTCCCCTGGTTTCACCCGGATGTGACAAGCTGAGTTGGTGTTTAGAACTTTGAACTTTGATGAACTTTCAACCTGAAGTATCCTGAAGTATCCTGAAGTATCCTGAAGTATTCCGAAGTCATTTGACAATTTCAATGTCGATGCCTTTGGGCCGCTAGGGCCTTTCAATGTGTGTTTGTACATGTTTGTTCCAAATTGCATCAGCTATGTAGCGACAAGACTGTCAATGTCAGGAGTCCCATACAACAAAAGACATTGGTCGCTGACTGGCTCGTGATGTTTGTGGCTCTGCAACCGCAGCTTTGGCTCTCTGTAGTTCTGTCGACACTTTCCATAACTCGCGACTCTCGTTGCAAGATCTTGTTGGCAATGGCACTGCCGGAGTCACAGGAAGCCGCCCGTGTGATGTTGCAGACGATGCTGAGTGAACACATGACAAGTGGACACAAGTGAGTACAAACATATTACAAACATATTACAAACATGTACAAAGCATCCATGGAAAAGTAAAAGTGTTCCAAAGTGTTCAATTGCGTCAGCCATCAGCTCCTGCCAGGAATCACAGCTGTCCAACTTGGCGGAAATCGTCACTGCCGGGCAGCCCATCACAGAGCGGAAAGCATCCGAAAGCGCTCCAGACAGTTCTCTACACAATTCTCCTCGATGTTTGTGTGTTGTGTGTCATTATTGTGTCATTCAGAATTCATTCGTGTCATTCTTCTTATGTGTTGGTTCCCAGCAGACACCTTGGAGGTTATCCTGCGAACAAAAACTAAACGCACTTAGACAAGTATCTTGGCAATCCCACAATCTCAGATATCTACAACATGAGCATCAATGAGCATCATATATCATCCCTGTTTCGCCAGGAAATGATGAAACGTATCGATGACCAAGAGTTGAGGAGCCAACTTGTTGCTGGTCACCTTGAGCCAAACGATGCCAAACGTAACATAAGAATCACAAGACGATGACACGATATGACAAGATATGACAAGCAAGATTAGATATCAGTAGATTCTCAGTAGATCTAAAGTAGGTCTTGCTAGAAAGCACGCCCACGCTGGCACTCATTTTCCCGTGACATTTTCCCGGCGGTCGTCTGTTGCTTCACTTTTACAGATTAACCACATTTTGATGTTTTGGCAAACACTCTCCATGTCCGATACTCAGCTTCCACTCTGAATCACTGAAGACAATTAGAATACATGACTAATTTTGATGGCTCAGTGAATCAGTATGCATCACTCAGTGCATCAGTGATTTACACTGATTCTTAGCAACTTGGTTCTACCTGATTATACTTGATTAAAACTTGATTTCACTTGCTTAGCCGATTGAAGCTGGTGGAAATTGGTGGAAGCTGTTTGAAGTGCCGAAGGAACAAGACGATGCAGACGCAGAACAGCCTGGAGGTGCAAGCGCTGAAACGTCGCATGGAGGTGCCTCCGCTGACTGTTTGATGTTGAAATTTGATCCTCTGCCTGTCTGATCCTGACAATTAAATCTGATCCTATGATAAATCGCATAAGAAATCCACCATCATTCGATATCGATTCATTCCACAGTGGTTAAACATTGGATTCTGCGCTTAATTCTTCTGTTTTTTCTGTGATTCCCAGCTTTGGTATTGGACGATTTTGGCGTTTTTGGGACACTCAGAATCTAGCGACTCGCGACGGTTTTTTTTGATGGCAATGAGTCAGGATTTGCAGAATCAGACCATCAAAGATGCCAAGACTATTCGCGAGGACCTTGTGGAAACACAAGTTGCTGGAACATCCAAAGCTGAAACCTCCACTTGTGGACCCAGTCATTGAACATGTGTTTATACAATATTTCTTTGTATTTCCAAATAGCAATCTTACTTTGGGTGACTATTATGATTGATGCGGTCATCGTCGCAATTTGTCTCTTGGGTGAGCTGAAGCACCATGCATTTCCTCCTAAACTTTCTGAAATCGAACAGCGACATCCCATGATTTGCAAAGTGAAGCGAACTCCGCAGTTTCATTGCCATGACCTTTCCAAGTTTACTTGTTGTATCGTGTTGTCACTTGTCCTGGGATGGATAGCCATCTGAAAGCTGGAAGCACTTCATGTATCTTCATGTCCCTACGGCCGGTGAGGAGTACGATGCGGCGGTCGATAGCCTTGGCAGCTTAATGGAAGACGTTGCACGCCGAGTGACGAAAGCGGTACAGCACTACGAGGACGTGATTCCGCTTGGACGCACTGGTTGTAGACTCTGAGTCTTCGGAGATCATCTTGCTTCCTATTTGGTTCATTTTGGTTCATTTTGGTTCAATATCATATATTATCATATATGAATATATATATATGATATACAGTGCTACAATCGAAGTTTAGAAGTAAAAAACTTCAATATGGACAGATGAAACAGCAGAGGTGGGAAGAGTCAGAGAAGAGAAAGGAAGAAATGCCCAAGGCGACAACAAACGTACAACGCGTTAATTGGCAACACCTATTGGGCTCCAAAGTTTTCATGCCAGGAGCGCTTCACATCTGACCTTGAGAAGCTGCGTCCAAGACTCATTTCATGCAGAAAGTTTTGACAATTTGTATGACAATTTTGGAAACAGATGCTCTCTTGCCATCGCTGTGGTTATTTTGACAATTTGTGATTCACTGTTCTGTTTTGTTATCTGTTACTCATATTCTTTTGTGAATTCTGATTCTGCAATCATTCTGCAGGTGAACATGTGACCAAGACCATCAACACCCAATCCACTGTGCTGACCCAAAAGATCGATGCGGCCTTGGCAGAAAAAACCCGCCAGGCGGTGGGATGCCGTGGGACGTGGGATGTTTCACCATGGCATCTGCCATGGCATCTGCTGCCACTGCCGTTCGCCAGGATGGTGATCGTGAAGGCGCTAAATGGTGGGGCATCGGCTTCCACTGTCAAGAACTTCCGCTTTATCTGATGAATTCTTATGATATCTTATGATTTATGACAAATCTTACGATATCCAATCATGCTCTTCCAGTCTGTCTTAGCACTGTTTCAGAAGCCCTGTGTGGCACAACTGTGTGGCATAGCTCATGCATAGCTCCAGTTCTACAAGTTCTCTCATCTCAGCGAGGTGAGTCCGAGGATGCTAACAGTGGAACTGCATCCACGGCAAAGATGGCGCGGAACACCGATGTGATCATGCGTCCGAATGCCCAGCATGCTTCAAATCGTGGTAGGTTCACCGTGATAAAAGTTTCCACAAAGACTGCGCATCATAGTCAAAAGATGTCAGAAGCCGAGTACATTGCATAAGATTGAATAGCTGAATAGCTCACAGGAAGAGAGCGCACGTTTTCCCGGCTGATAGTAATCAATCAAAGCAACACGCACAAACAGTCGCACGGAGCACTTCCATTTTCACACAAACACATTAATCATCGATTAAGAATTATTAAGAGTGAATTAAGAGCATCTGATATAATTTCATATATTTTGATTGATTGAAATTGATATGGATCGACATGATGGACATATATATGGACATGAATGAGTTGTGGTGGCCATCCCTTCGTGCGAACCCTGACACGCCATGCGTCGCCATATCTCTGCAGCCCAGGTCGCATTGAGTCGATGGCACACATGCTGAGGGCAGAGGCACCGCTCAGATGTACACTTCAACATACTTCATGTACCCTCTGGCAATTTAACATAGCTATTGAAAATCACCATGTTTAATGGGAAAATCCACTATTTCTATAGCCATTTTCAATAGCTTTTTGTATGTTTACCAGAGGGTACACTGCATCTTTGATGTCGTATGATGTGTCAATGATGTCAGTGTCTCCATCATGAGCCGAGGCTTTGGCGCAGTCCCAAGCCTTCGAAGCAAAGTTGGCCTCGGTGGAAGCTGGACACAGCGCCGAAACCAAGAGGTCTCCACTTCGGTCTAAACGGGGGAACGGCGGTGTCCTTCAAATGGTCTCAATGAGAAGTTCGGTGTTCCCATGACGGATCCATGGTGCTGGTATATATGCTAACATAAAGGGGGTATTTTTGGTGGGATCCATGTTACCATATATACCAGCACCATGGATCCTATGGGGTTTGGATAGGCAGCGGCATCATTTTTCAATATAGTTCGACATTCGGGGATCAACTTGGCCAACTTGGCTGCGCAGGCTGCAAGGCATGCTGCAATCCTCCTACTGCCAGCTTCAGGCGCATGAGGGGAATCTACAACAGCAAAATTGGCAAAATTGCATGAATCAAAATGAATCAAGAGAATTCAGTTGATACAAGATAGATCCACGATTGAATGTACAGATCAGAATCCAATCGAATGCGAAGTCGAATACCAAATTGATATTGGTTTGTCGCCTGTGACTTCTTCGACTTCATTCTGCAGGGCTTGCAACGTTCAATCAGTGCCATGGAATGTAGGGCGCTAAGGGACGAGAAGAGAAGGGACCAGAAGAGACCAGCCGTTTTTTTTTCTCCCCAAAAGATGCTACTAAACAAATGTGTTTTTTGAAGGTACATGACGGTACATGAAGGTACTAAACCATCTAAACCTAACTTTTCTTTTCCAGAAGGTTTACTAAGCCAAGGAGTTTACGGCTTAGAAGTCGTCCCGAGGTGGACTCTTTTCCAAACCGCAAAGCCCGAGACAGAATGTGCGATACCTAGCCCGACCTAGCCACATGGCCACGTCCTGGAGCCTCTAGCACTTGCAATGCTAAACGCAAGGTCAGGCCAAGGTAAGCATTACGTTGCCTGATTCGAGGTCCTGGATACTTATACTGTATACTGTAATATACTGTATACCCTTTTTTTGCGATGTTCATGCAATTGCTACAAGCTACTGGGGTGTCGTTTACCCAAAATTGCAGGAATGAAATTTACTCATGAGGATTTTCTCCTATCCAACCGTATCCAACCTTCTAATTATTCTAATTCTAAACCAAGCAGCTTCCTATTAGCTTTGATCCGTGTCTGTATCACTTGGACCACCACCTTGAACTCGCTTCCTTGTTATCTGCTGAGTCCTCTTTGCAACAAATGGTGGGCTCGATGAAGGTGCCACACAGGTTGGAAGCAGCTGAGATCATGGTGATGTGAAACCTTGTGAAACAGGGCATGCCATGCAGATGCATGCAGATGGCGGCATTGTGGGATTCACATGTCTTTTTTTTGCGACTGCTACTCATCATAACAACTTGTCACATTGGCAGAGCAAGAAAGCCATCTCGGCTTTTGCAGAATCTGTAGCTGCACTGCAGCTTATAACAACATCTGAAGCCGTTCTTCTGATACAGGCTTTTTGATTGCTTCTTAGCTGGATGAACACTTGGATTTTCACATGTTTGTACTGCTTTTTACATCTTTTTACTATTTAACAAACCATTGCAGTCTTTTATTTCGACTGCTGTGCAGGGTGAACGAGCCAAAGGAGCCAAAGGATTCAAGTGAGCCAACACTTCGCGAGGCCTGGAGATGTGGAGAGATCGGAGAGCCTGGATTTGTGCCAAATTCTATCCAAATTCTACGAAATTCGACCAATTTCTATCCAATTTCTATCCAATTCTTCCAACTTTCTGGAGATAACGTGACGACACATGATGAACAAGACAAACAAGACATGAAAAAGACATGCGACTTGAATACAGTAATCAGACTGCAGACGTACTAGACGCATCTAGACGCATTCGTGTCATCGTCAAACTAGGGAACTCCATTAGGGGACCCAGATACAGATTGCTCGACCTCGTTCAACCATGTTGAACCATGTTGAACCATGTTGAACCATGTTCGACCCTCTACAGCTCTACAGGACCTTTGCAATAAGCTCCGCAACATCCAGTCCTCGGTGACGGGCGTTTTGACCGTGTTGGACTCGAGTGCCAACAGCGCCACCCGAGGACGACATCAGACGGTGGAAATCGGTGGACAGCGCTGCTCGAGTGCATTCGAGTGCGACGCCAGGACAGTCTCCGAACGTGAAGCAGCGATACAACAAGAGCCCCGTGCAGCTGCCCATCAACCCTGCTGGCACGTTGGAGAAGCAGATGAGGTGCTGAATTGATCTGAATTGATCTGAATTGATCGAAGTTGGAAATATTGCAACTGCAAACAAACTTTATAATAATCTGCTTTATGATTGAAGTGATTCTTGAAGTGATGCACCGAATAGGTTCAACATTTTCATGACTCTCCATAGTTTGGACCGGCATTTCTCAGTGTGAGTCTCACATATTCTGCCACATTGCCGGGAGATCTAAAATAGTCGAGCCTAGACAGAGTGACTTTCCTTCCCTCCCGGAGTCCCGGAGTCCCGTGCAGGCAGAAGGAATACGAGGTGCTCCTATGCAGCTGTAATTTGTCTCGTGTGTGAGTCAAGCTCCTCATTGAAAGATTTGAATTGCAGGATATCGTACAGGTTTAAAACTGCTGCAAGAAGCATTTTGCAGAGATAATGTGATGCAACGACAGAGTTTTTGAAGCGTGAAATTATGTGAAATTCAAGGGGATTGTAAACAGTATATATATATATATACGACGTATATACCAGGGATTATTCGTGGGTTTACGATGTAGGTCTTGTGCCCCGGCAACGCCTTGCAGGGGCGGGCATCTCCTTTGATGAGCACATTGACGGAGGTTGGATCAGCGGGTAGCGATGTAACACAATTGGAAAGGCAGCGGTCCGGTTTCATCCAATTCATTACACAATTCAGTGCAATCCTTTTTGTAAAATCCTGTAGCAATTTTCCTCATCCATTTCAATCCATTTCGGTTCGATTCCTTTCGATCCATTTCGTCACACTCGTGCAGGAGCGTCGCCAGTCCCCAGGCACACTGGGGGCAGCCAATTGAACGAGGAGCCAAAGTTGCTCCGGTTGGAGAAATTACACCAGATTGTGTTTGTAGCAATTGTAGCACGTGAAACTCACAATAGGATTCAACAGGGGCTTCTGAGAACTTCAAATGGTTTCAGACAATCGGAACTGCAACTGTGTTGCGGAGTTGGGATCAGGTCGCTGTGCAACAACGTCCGGATCCCCAGTGGAGTCGACATATTCCCTCTTTGCAAACAAATTCCGCTTGGGTTCTCTGACCTCTGACCTACAAAGTCGGAAGCTTCGAACTTGTGACTTCGATATACTTTGATGATCTTTGATGTGATGGCATTTCACAAAGCTGGCACAAGTCCAGCCACATAGAGCCTCACCACTCTGACACTGAGGGAGACTCGTGCTACTCATCCTGCTCAAATGAATGGCGCAAGCAATTCGAATCAAGCTTCCTCAAGGACTCTGGTTGAGGTTGGTCAAGATCATCACTACTTATTTGCACGGAAACCTGCACTCCTTCTTAATTCCCCAACACTCCAACATTGCAATGTTCGTGGGGATGTGGGCACAAAGGGTTCAGTCCCATGAAATGTATGGTATGTATGTGTTTTTTCATTTCCGATTCCCTGGATAGCAACAGCATTTTCCCTAGAATGCGACGTTCCGACTTTCCAAGGTTTCTGATGGTTTCTGATGGTTTCTGAACATTTTTGTAGATTTGGCAGTGTCATGCATTTGGCAAAATGTGTTCAGCAAGGAGAATTTAAGCAACCCGCCTCTTCATGTCGCGTTTTCTCGATCCCTGATAAATCTGATAGGATTCCTGAGCCTGTGCCCACAAAAATGATGGCCCAACCTCCAAAATCACGCTGGAGCTCCAGTCGACGCGGGGAAAACCGGGTGGTTTTACAGTCGACCATCACTTCAACAGTTTCGAAAGGATACGATATTCAGATATATTCAGATATTCAATGGATTGAACTGTTGATGTGCGTGAAGCATTTGTGTGAAGCAGAGGTCAGATCACCATCTTAAACTTAGAGTAAAAACTTCAACTGCCACTGTCCTACTATCTCTGAATTCAATTGTCACTCAATCATATAGTTCAGAGTATCCATCATCTTGATATCTTGATATCTTGAAATATTATGATTCTGATATCATTTTGGTCTCATTTTGGTATCATTTAGAAAAAATTGGTATCGATCCCATCCCAGTTGGATCCGGTTTCCGAGGTCAGTCTCATGGGCCCCATGGGCCCCTCGGTGGCCATGGTCTGGTCGCTTCCATGTCGCAGCAGGCGATGCCGCAACTCGGCCACAACATGTGAGAAATCCATAGAAATCCCACAAGATTCATAGAAATCTTCAAATTGGAGATGACTTTGGAGATGACTTTGACAGATTTTGACCATATTTTGACATACTGATTATGATAGTGACTATAGTGACTATGACAATGCCTATTTTTATCTATATGTTTGTCAAATTTGACTTGAAGGATCTTGAAGGTGTTACCTTACAGTGAGACCAAAGGGGGTTCGATCCACTGTGAAGAGTCAAGGTAATGAGTCGAAGAATATAAAAAGGTCAGGATACAAAGCGTTGTCCGATTGTTCTCGTCCCACTCCAACCAAGACAGGGAGGGTCAGAAGGAGAAAATCTTAGACTGAACTCTTCATCCCATCTTCAAAAACTTTCATGGAGATTTTCGTTTCCGAAAATTCTGAAAGTGGCTCTCCTTTTGCTGTTTGAGCACTTTTGAGCAGCTGACTCGATTGGAGTTCTGTCACAACCAAGGCCGATGATATCTGGTATGTCTGGTGGCTGCATGATGCCCCCTGGAGTGGGGTTCCCAACCGCAGTCAATGAGTCAGGGTCATCATAAAAGTATCCTTTGCAACATGAATTTCCATTTTCCAAAGAGCTGTTGAAGGATGTTGAAGGAAACTCACGAAATTCCTTCACGCTGGAAACTCACAACAAATCCTGCGCTCTCCATGTCTCCATGCTGTGGCAAAGGGACCTCTCGTGACATGGTCATCACTGAGTCATCAATTCTAGTGACTCTAAAGTTTTCTAGACAGTCGTCACATTGTCGTCACCCTTCAACGAAAATGCCACAAGAGACTCCCATGACGCGCCTGACGCCGCTAAGGTCTATCCGATGCATGCACGCTCAGGGATGGGCTCGCCCGTTGCTCCTATGATGGCACAGGCCATGCGAAATGCCACGAGGAGTTGGACCCGTTGACACCTGGATCCTTTGGGTTTTGAATGGTTTTGACCTTTTTGGTCAAAATTGGTCAAACATGTTTGATACATTTACGATCTCAAGTGGTGTCACAGTGGTATCTAAAATAATGTAGAGACTGGAGACATCTGGAGACTTCAGCTGCTCACCTTCAGCATGCCACCTGAAGGCAATCCCCTTGAACTTTGCCGTGAAGAGAAAAACACAAATCTGAAAAAGTTGCCGAGATGTGCTGAGATCTGCTGCCAAGCCATAAGCCATGTCATGTGCCATCAAAATGATGTGCCAATGATCAAATTATCGATGATCACCGGCCACTACGGGGCATCTCCTGGCTTTCTAATGAAGCACAATTCTGGTCAGAATACACTGTTATCGTTTTGGATTTTGGTTGAGGCTAATCTGTCACTGGATGTAAAGAATGCATAGTAAGGGCTTCCGGTTCATGACTCCATGACCAAAAAGATTCAATCTCTTTCAGCATCCTTTTTGATGCTTTGATGCTCTTTGTCTTTTTCCCCGAATTTCCACTGTGGCCAGTATCGACCAATGTGTCGACATCGCATGGCTGGGCACGGCCCGGGAGCGCTGGTAAAGGCGTATACCGTTCAAGTACCATTCAATTCGCCACGGTGTGCTGTGCAAGTTGGGGAGCAGAACAGAGGCTCCTAATAGCTGCGTTATAGACTTGATAGAGATGTTTCAAAGAAATTTGACGATTCAGTTTCAAGAAGCCTTGGTGAACTCGTGGAAAAGAGGGCTTGTGGCGAAGACTGGCGAAGACGAAGTGGGGATGGTTTCGAATTAGAGTGGCAAAGCCGACTAGTAAACTTTCAAAGGTCACCTCCAGGTTCTTTCACGGAGTTTACCAACTTTGAAGCAATTTAAGATTACTGTAGACATCTGTAGACATCTGTAGACATGGTAGGACGCCGTAAGAATCCGTACTGCCCTACTGGTGGGAGAGCATTCTGACGCTTCCCGCTGAGGGGATGTCAGAGTCCTCGTCCAGGGGCTACACCAAGATCCGGGACATTGGCTCAGGCCCTGGCGAACGCTTGCCACTTGGCGATTCCATAGGATTCCACAGTGATTCCACATATTCCACAGCCCAAAGATCATAAAGATCCCAAAGGATCGAGGATATCAAGGGGATGACTGGGATGACAATAATTTTGTCATATTTTGTCATCTTAAATTCTTATTCCTTGCAGCGACAATTGTGGCAGGCAGCTATGGCAAGGCCGTTCTGGTGCAGGAGGGAGGGAGTGGGAACGTGTTGGGGCTTTGGATGAATCTCTGCATCTGCAGGACAAAGAGAACAAGCTCTATGTCATGAAGATCATTGACATGAGCCGAATGGACACCAAGCAGAGAAAGGACCACACGGTGCCCGATTTGGATTGCGAGTTCATCAACTCTGTTTGAACTCCAAAGCCCTTCAAGTTGAAAGCTCATGAAAGCCCAAGTTCGGCAGTGTGAGGATGCGATCAATGAGGTGAGGGTCTTGTCTTCCCTCAAACACCCTTACATTGTGTTGGAACCTCAGAGTCTCAGAGACAGGAGCACAGACTCCTCCAATCTTGCCTTGACAACTGGCACTTGTGGATTTCGGATACTTGTGGCCTGCGCAAGATGCAAACCCGGCGTTTTGAATCCAAACATGTTAAGACCATGAAAAATAATGAAACATACCATGAAAAGACCATGAAAAGTACAGCACCTCGGTTGGGGGTTCAAAACCATTCAAACATATTCTAACCCTTCTTGGCCCTGCAGCGCCGGCTCAAGATCTCTATCAATCCGGGGCAGCCAGTGCGAACTTTTTCATCGTTTTATCTTGTGCGAACTAGGACGTTCAACAGGGAACTCCAGTGCGACTGAGGTCGTACAGAGAAAGCTACACCGAGAATCGGAACTTGGCTATTGTGACTCGTCATAGAGGGTAGAATTGAAGTCAATATGTTGGAGAGTGGAACTCCATTATGGACGTTTCATACCTAATTCATTCCATTTATATCTCACGAATTCTGAAGATATGTCTGATGTTGAAAAGTCAGTGGTGCGCCATGGTGCGTTTCATGCAGCTTGCGATGATATGCGATGCAAACACGTTTTTGATCGTTTTTGCGGCGCAGGTCATGGACTATGCCGACGGTGGGGACCTGCATCAGCGGATCCAACGGACTCGACAAGCGGGGAAGGTCTTTTCGGAAGATCGCATTGTGAGGCGACCGCAGGGCGACGTAAGCAGCTTACTGCAGCTGTGTTTGAACAGACAGGTCATGATTTGGGATGTTCAAATATGGTCAATCTGGAAACAGTCCAGGCCAATTCTGTTTTTTTCCGTGTGGTCGTGTTTGTTGGCGAGGTCAAATTACTTTCCAGCAGAATCTTGGTAGTTCGTGGTGCCTACAAAACAAGTGGGCCATCCTGATTTAAAGGACACGACAGCAGCAACTGTGTGTGGAGGTGGCTGACGGAAGCAACTTTGGCGCTCAAGTATCTGCATGACAAACATGTCTTGCACAGAGACCTGAAGAGCCAAAATCTCTTCTTGACTGCAAAGGACAGACTGGGAGTGTGAGTTGTGAGACGTAGACATCGTAGACACGCTCGTGACAATGTGACAAGTCAGTGCTGGTGGAGCCATGATTGGGTACGAACTGTCTTTCTATTGGCGTGTGTGAGCAGTGTGGTGGAGCCATGATTGGACTGGTACGAACCGTCTTTCTATTGGCGTGTGTGAGCGCACATGTGGAACATGTCTAAAAGCCCAATAAGGAAGCTGCAGGTCAACATGCGCAGGGGGGTTGTAAACAGACTTAAACAGTGCACAGATGTGCACAGTGACTGAAAGATGTTTTTTTTTTTGGCCACCGGGAACGCTACAGGACAGGTTGAGGATAGGAGACTTTGGTATCTCCAAGGCCTGGTGGATGGATATCTATTGGCATCATGGGATTCCATGGCTTTGATCCCACCATGGATTTCCAGGTCCTGGAAAGCACCTGTGCCTTTGCCAAGACGACCATCGGCACACCTTACTATCTGAGTCCTGAGATTTGCAACTCGGACATTTGACCGGAAGGGATACGGGATGATACGGGCTTCGAGGATCGTGGAAGTTGGGAAGTTGTTGGCGTTGTCACTTCGACATGTCAAGGCTTCTACATGCTTCTACATTGTACAGTTTGTAAAGGAATGACTGAATGACCTTGTGAGCCTCAAGAAGATTCACCATCTTCACTTTGCTATACTTTGCTTATCGGTTCACGTGCTCGGAGTTCCGGATGTCATCTTGACTTCTGAGGTATGGAGAAACCTTATACCTTCAGCAGTGACATTTGGGCAGAGCTCTCAGACTGCTGTGCAACTCGAACAACGAGTCACAACATGTGCGGAACATGTGACATATGTGACACTGTGCAACTTGTGGCAACTTGTGGCGACTCGTATGAGTCACCAAAGTCACAGACTATTTCTATTACCAAACTAATTTGTACAAAATTTGTATCTATCCGTTCCATTTAATGATTTGAATGGTCATTTGATAAATGTGTGATCTCAGCACAAGCGTCGTGCCATAGCGATCCAAGGCCCTTGGCTGCGTGGTTTACGAGCTCGCTTGCCTTAGAGTGCCATTCGATGTGGGAGACCCAGGGAGACTCAGGAAGACTCAGCCCGTGGATACGGCAATCTACAGCATATCATGGCGTGCTGGTGTTGGACGGTGTTGGTTCATTCAGACTGCAGCACACTGTAATACACTGCAAGACACCTTTCAGTTGCTTTGACTAGACACCAAAATGACATTTGGAGTCTGTCAATCGTCCAATTTTTCTCGTTTCTGTGTGCAGATTGTGCAGGCTACAAGTCTCCAGTCGCTGGTGCAAAAGATTACGCGCGGTCGCCCAGAAGCGCCTGCGGCAGCCCAGGAAAAGTTGAGAGACGCTGACGTCACTGACGTCACTGATTGGGGCAGGTTAGAGATGCATGGAGATAAATGGATCTAAATGGTCCCACAATGTCCCACATACTAGTATGTGTAAATTCATGTAAATTCACTATTACTAAACCATGCTTTCTGCGGGATGTTTAATATTACAGTAGGGGGAAGGGGTCCTTCGAGTTATTTGCACAGGATGGTGAAGTTTCACCAAGTGGCAGACATGAGAGCCTGTTGGTATGAAAATAATGCCATTGAAACATGTAGAGATGCTTCACGTCCGTCATCTTTAGTACTGGCTGGCACCTCCTCTGTAACATGTCAATTCACATATTTTCTGCACGCGATTTTGATGCATTTGGAAGTGACCCAGTACCAAAATGTAGCAAGATGTAGCGCTTGATGTAGCAACCCGCAGTGCCTCTCACTTATCTGTCAAATCGCCCCAGGCGTGGACCCACACCTCTGCTGCCCAACAGCTATTCTGCGGAGCTGCGTCAATTGGGTGCGGAGCCCAGAGCCGTTATGGCGCTTTCCTTCATAGGGTGATCCTGGGGTTAGAGATCCTTGGAGATTGTTTGTTTATGTTTGTTTATGTTTGGAGTCTTTTTGAATCCTGATCTTTGTCATCTTTGTCATCTTTGTCATCTTTGTCATCTTTGTCTTGGCACATCTTGTCAGGGTATTTCAAGATATTTCAAGTGTCCTTGCCTACACAAAGCCTTTAAAGTCGCAGGTGGGGACTTGCTTCACCGAGAGCAATCCCAAAGGCCCAGCGCGCAGGACGAGATTCCCATGGGGCCATTCTGAGCCTTCACAATCTTCATCCACTTGTCACCGAGTATCCAGTCGAAGTGTCAAGATCTCTGGAATTCTCTGGATCTCCAATTTAGGGCCCTTGTGGCTGCGCTCAGTGTCTTTCGTGTTTTTTCCACGTCCATTGTGTCCATCAGATTTTGTGAGGAGATCCTGCAACGGCCTCTGATGCAGCAAGAGATTCGCAAGATGCTCCGTGAGGTGCGAAGACCTGAGATAACTGGGCCACCAAGGTGTTCCAAATCTGCCAAAATGATCAAAATGGCTCAGTTGGAAGCCTTGTTAGGAAAAGCTGCTGTTTTTCGGAAGTATACAATAATTTCATATATGATTTCGACATAAATGACATAAATATACAATTCATAAAAGATCAATGAGATTCAATGAGAGTGTTTATCAAACATGAAAAAAACGGCAAAGGATAGCAGCCGGATAGGAAAAAACGGGTGATCTCACTGCCGCCAGGAGCAGGCCAAAAGTCGCCCAACAGAGGCCCTTCGGCATCTCCGAATGAGTTGAGACATGCTGAGACCTGTTTCCAGATGTTTCCAGCATCCCAATGTGGACATTTGGCACATCATTGATCATCATTGGACCTTTTCTCATCCCCCCCTAATAGTCTTGCCATGTCTTGCCCGTAGCATATCACGTAGCATTGAAACACCTCGCAGCTTGGCATAGCGGCGCTCAGCGGCACTGTGCCCAAGGCAGCTCCAGCACCAGCTCCTCCCACCACGGAGGCGATTGTGGCAAGAACTTCAGGGAACATATTGATATTCGAAGAATTTCGAAGATAAATATGATAAATTGATATTGGAACATAGGGAACAGATGGGAACAGCTGTTGCGAAATCTGTTGCAACATGTTGGGTCAACCGTAGGGGTTTGCCGAAGCAAAGAAGGTTTCTGAGCTCGTGACCATTGGTTGGGTGGTGGGGTGGTGGGGGGGGGGTGGGGGGGGGGTGGGGGGAGGGGGGTGGGGGGGGTGTGGTGGGGGGGATGTTAAGTTCATTGCGACTGGTAGGTTCTCTTGGACTTCCGCACATACGTCAGGCTACGCTATTGCTAGTTTCTCTTGGACTTCGACACATACGTCATGCTACGCTAGGGCGAATGAAGAACATAGGAATAGCTGTCCTGCAATCTTCGGCTGCCTCTTTTTTCTCTCTGAGCTTCAGTCTGCATTCAGCCATGAGGTGTCCTGGAAGGCACTACCCGACTGAAAATAAAACATAGAGTCATGCGAGACACGTTGCCACATTCTTCGAAACCAGTGAAGCACTGAAATCGAAATGGCAGAAAAAGGAGGCCCGGGAGGACACCCGTGGTGTTCCATGCTGAGAGCAACCTGCCGCTCTTGATCATCACTAATAGATCGATTCATCATCTCAGCATATTCATGGACGTCCGCTATTGTCAACTCAAGCCATGCAATCATAGGCCGCAAAAAGGGCCAATGAAGAACTGCAGTCTGCCAGGAAAAGTTGCCACTCATGCGGCACGCGATCAATAGCACCAAACATTCGAACAATTCATCGAAACTCAACATGGCTCCGAAGAAAATGTAATTATGCTGTTCCAATAGAACACGCAACTTTATTTCTGTTTCCAACAAATCTCAAGTTGAAAATCCTGCTAATTTTTCCGCGGGATCCCGCGAAAAAATCTGGTTCGCAGAACATGAACATGGCTTTAGCAATCATCCCTTATCATGCAAACATCTTGCAAATGCTACTGTGAAAACAATGAAAAACACTGAAAATACCATGAAATTTCCTCCTAATAAACGGCTGCGGATGGACATACATGATCTGAACATATGTAACCCTTTGCAAACTCATTCCGACTCACGGCAAACCCCCCCGGGAAACCCAACATGTTGCTGTTGCATATCATTCATATCTCTGCTCTGGGGAGATCTGGGGAGATCTGGGGAGTGGGCTTCGCAAGAGCCAAAGCAAACTGATGATAAACTGATGCGAAGTGATTCGTGCCCGAAGTCCCAAATCTGTGGATCCAGAATATCCAGAGTTTCCCATCTAAATTTGCATTGTCTATCATTGTCTACAATGCCCAGATGAAGAAGTCTCCCAGCATACAGAGCGAGGCGCGTTCAGTTCGTGTTGGGCAACACGTGGTGGGGACCTGCCCGGTGTCCCCGGTGGGATCTCGGATGATCTCGGTCTGGCCAGGTGCGAAGAGAACGTACCACGGACAGCGAAGAGGGTGATGGAGGCAAGACACACGGAATGAGATGTGAATGAGATATGATTATATATATATATATTATATATATATCATAGTAAATGATGTATATAATAAGTGTATACATCAAATATCTGTAAGGAGGAAGACACCATAGGTCTCATCAGGTATCTATAGGGTCTGTAATCTATGGTTACTAGACAATGGGGCTGGTATACTCAATGATGAATATGATATGAGTATACATTTATACATGAGTGATGTGGGACGACTTTCATGAAAGATATGAAAGACACACCACAACGTCACAGCTATTGAATGATTTGAATGTCACGTGACCTTCACGTCAACATGTGGATTGCGCACTGAGTGCGAGGTCTCTCGTCGCGATGGCAGCAAAATCCAGTTCGGAGCACTCAGAAGGTTTAGGAAGCAAAATAAGTGTGGAAACTTTAAGCTGCAAGACTTTTTCAAACTTGTGGAGCAGTGCAACACACATGAGGCATCATGACACGCATGATATGGTTACCTTTGGTTCGGAGATGTTGAGCACGACAAACACGACAAAGTGACAGTACACTTCGTACCAACTCCTTCATCGCATGCGAGGCGCTCAAAGGAGCTGGTGCTATTTGTCGATGCCCTAGACTTGCCAAGTTGCCCTCCTAAGTTTGAGAAAAGACTGTGAATGTAATGTGAATGTAATGTGAATGTATAATGTGAATGTAATGTGAATGTAATGTGAATGTAATGTGAATGTAATGTGAATGTATAATGTGAATGTATAATGTGAATGTAATGTGAATGTCATGTGAATGTATAATGTGAATGTAATGTGAATGTAATGTGAATGTAATGTGAATGTAATGTGAATGTAATGTGAATGTATAATGTGAATGTAATGTGAATGTATAATGTCATGGTACTGCTAAGAGATGTCGAATCAATCCGAATCAATCCGGGCTTCTGTACGTTCTGTAGCTGTGCAACGGGTGGCACCGTGGGAGCCCAGGCATGGACGGCGGACGGGAAAATCAAAACCGCTTTGGCGATCCGCTGCCTTCGAGGCTCACATGGTTCCGTGGACGGAAATTCTAAGAGATTGAACACAAACAAATTGGAACAATATAGATAGTATAGATATATTGATAATAGATATAACAGTAATTAGATGATAATAGAGATTATAATTATATATAATATATATACGTAGTTATATATGTAGATCAGAGAAGATCAAAAGTTATAGGTCCTATAGGTGGTCAAGGATTCCAAACACACGTAAACACGAAGACAAATCAAGTCAGGGAGGAACTCTTGGAATCTGTGACAAGGCCGGCCCCAAGCCGATTGGCAGAAGGACCAGCGTGGGGGCACTTGGACGATGTACGGCTTGTGTACGGCTTGTTTACAGCTTGTGTACTGAGTTAAATCCTGTACCATCGGGACCGAAGTTCAGTTCACTGAACACAATTCGTTGAGTAATGTTGAGTAGTGTGAAGTAATGTCACGTCGAGTATTTTCAGAATCGAATGTTCCGTAGTGTTGCTGTGTTTTGAAGCAGCTAAGTGGGGTCTGTCTAGTTTCTCGCGCAGCCATGCGCAGCCAAGGTTACGTCCACCACCACCTGGTTTGAAAGCTCGTCGATAGAGGCACAGACTCTCAGAATGTCGGACTCTCGTTGCCTCTGGGCAATCCCTTCGGCAATCCTTTGGGCAATCCATGAAACATGTGGGCATTCCATGACAATTTCCATGTGACATGACAATTCCTGGTGTTCCCAGACTTTATTGTCTTTATTCATGCCAAAGTCTTCCCAATCAAATCCCGGTGTTGTTGTCAGAGCAGACGTGTCGTCGGAACTCCCTTGACAGGAACTTATCGTATTGATGCCTCTGGCTGAAAATCGGGCCGGATGTAGACGTTTTTTACATACCGAGAAGTCCAAAGGAGTCCAAAGTAATCCAAAGGTTCAAAGCTGGGAGTGTTTTTTTAGGTTTATTGCTGGTGCCTTGCAGTGCCTTGCGCTGCCAGCGCCTGAGTGTAGACAAAACTGTGTTGTCAAGCCATGTTAATTTCAATGGACAAAAAAACAAATGAGAACAGCCTTGGACTTCGGCACAAATCTCACCGGTGGGTAACTCTCGTGTGACTTCTTGTGACATTTGCATCTGTCGAAACTGTTGAAAGTCAATGTCTTTGCTTCCAAAACAGCTGCTCTTTTGCTTCATATTGTCAATCTTTTTATTGTTCAGCTCTGGAGAGTGTAGACAACCCACCGGACCGAGATGCGTTGAATGCTTGTCAGGTTTGTGTGAGCAGATTGTTGGTTTTTGTCCCTGGCTTTTCCAGTCAACCAGCAGCGTTTTGTCACTTTTTAACACTCACAAACCTGACAAGCTCACATCCCGTGAGATTGCACAGAGCCCAGAGCACAGAGTTTGTCCAGTTTGATCCGCAGGTTTGATACGTTGGATTCACAGGCAGTAATTTTGAATAGATTTGTGATTATTTATTATATTTATTGGGCCCTTCTGTACCAACTCGAGCCCTACTGCAACTGAGACTTGCACAAGATTCAAGATAGCGCTAAGACAATGATGAACAAATTACATTGGCATGAAGAACCTATGCCTTTGAACTGTCTGCATTTTTCTTGACTAAGACTTAGCCTCTTTGGCTGTTTTTGTTGCTGTGCCAGTCCAGCAAGCCAAATTTGGCTACTGGATGTTTTGTTCACCCGCTGCATTGCATGATATTGTATGTGACAAAGGCATCAACTCTTCAACGCCTGTTGCATTTTGTCGCGCTTTCCATCTCTCTGTGCTCAACCCACGTGGCCTGTGGCCACACCGTCTCACTACAGCTGAAGCCTCACTGTGCAGCCAGAGGAGGAGAGGAAAATGGAGCCAACTTCGGGAGCCATGAAGTCCTGGTGACGTCCATCGTCCAAGTCCATCGAATCTTGAGGCAACTCGAAATCATGCAATCCAGCTTTTAGCGCCATGGGCGGACAAGACCATCGGAATGTTTTTCCCCAAACAGTGTGTCCACACTGAGGGGTTCTTACGGTAAGTGTAAAGGCCGGCCCTTGATCATCCAGCTCGTCGGCGGCATTTTACCTGTAAATTTTAGTACAAAATGGCTCTTGTGAAATGTCTAACTGCATTTTGACTGCGCGGGCTCGCATTGTGACTGCCAAGGATTCACATCTTGACTCCTGCCGATATGAATTCCAATAGGACGCCCCCCAAAAAAAACCGCACAAAGACAGGCATCTAAAGTGCTGTGCCAACGTTCATCCCCACCTTTGTAAAGCCTCATGCCTGCCAACGCAAACGAAGTTTCCTGGTGAAAGCCTCGTTGAAACCATTGCTCTTGCCAGGCCGAAAAAAAATTGTCAAGTTGAAAAATGTGGAAACGTATCGTGTACAGTAAGGTTTACACGTTGCCAGGTCCCCAAAAATAGCCGCCATGTGGCTCCCCACATAGGCAGGGCATACTTGTGCGGCTGCAAGCGGCATCGGGCGTAAACATGTTTTCTACTTGCGCACAGCAAGGTCCCAACAGCGGCCGCTGGTCGCGGACGGTCCTGAAAACAATGCGGGGCAAGCACACCTCAACCCCAGACCCCCAGAGTCAGTGGAGAATTTTTCGCTACGCATTTGGGGAAATGGGCAGGAAGCGATAGCAAAACAAGAGCAAAATGGTGCTCACGCGAACTCGCGGCCCAAATCAGGCACCAGTATCAAACCCGGCTAGCGCCCCCATGACCAAAACCCTTCACTTCGTTTGTGGAGTGAGAAGAAACACTTTGCGATGCGTCTTACCAGGATGTTGGGAAGGGAATGAAAACAAGAATTCGACGGAATTAAATCTACGGTAACGTAACGACATTTAAATATGTGGAGGTAGTATGAAACACCAGTTCCATTCGTATATTTAAATGGCCGGGCCCGTTCCGCATATTTAAATGTCGATTTTAGCTAAGGACCGCCTAAGAAATTTTCAGCCTACCCTGGAGTTCGTAAAGTACTACAGGCTACAGGTAGGAATATGGGGATTGTAAGTGAGTGGGCCCTGATGTTTATAAGGGGTTAGTCCTTAAAGGGTACACATGGCGAGGATTTTTCAAAACCACCATAAATCCACCACACAACCACCAAAAACCCACTGCAAAACCACCACAAATCATGGAGCGATCAAGGTGGAATTATGGAGGTTTTGTGGTGTGATTTTGGGGGGTTTGCGGTGGAATTATTGAAGTTTTTTGGTGGGGTTATCAAAAGTTTATGGTGGAATTATGGAAGTTCTGTGATGGAAATATGGAGTTTTGTGGTGGGATTCTGAAGGTTTTGTGGTGGAATAGAGGTTTTGTGGTAGAATTATGGAGATTTTGTGGTGGAATTATGGAAGTTTTGTGATGGGATTGCGGTGTTTTTGTAATAGAATTACGGTGGTTTTGTGGTGGAATTGACGTTTTGTGGTGGGATTATGGAAGTTTTGTGGTAGAATTATGGAGGTTTGCGGCGGAATTATGTTTTTTTTTTGCGGTATGGTGGTGGGATTATGGAGTTTTTGTGGTGGATTTATGGATGTTTTGTGGTGTTTATTGATCGGTGGTGCGTTTGTTTTGGACTCATGGAAGGTTTGCGGTGGAATTATGGAGATTTTGTGGTGGAATTATAGAGGTTTTGTCGTGTATTTCTGGTGGTTTTGAAATTGGTTTATTGTGGTTTTGCGGTGGGATTATGCGGTGGGATTATGGAGGTTTTGTAATGGTTTCCCATGAGCTGCCGAGGCATGACCATCATGCTTCAGGTTTGAACCAACAACTGGTACAATGCCATGTAGGGCCCCCAAAAATAGGACAGTTGGTTCCGTTTAACTGGTTTTACCGTAGTTTTTGGTTGAGATACTGTTTATGTATTACGGTAACGTCATTTATATAAATATGTGGAGGCGGGCCAGACTGCGAGGCCCTGGAGGTAGTATGAAACACCAGTGGCTTGAATGTGGCCGCAAAGATGCGGTATAGGTATGCAAGGTGCATTCCCGGGTTCGAACCGTATGCCAACTGTCCAATGCCGCGAGGTAAGGTAAACAGAATGGGAGGAGCCTGAAGCATCCAGCAAACCATCACCAATCCACCACAAAACCATTATAAACCCATGACAAAACCATAGCAAAACCACCATAAATCCACCACAGAATCTTCACAAATCCAAGACAAAACCGCCATAAACCAACTACCAAACTTCCAAAAATAAACCTTTCCCCCTAATACTAACCCCCCCAAATAATGAACACCTCAGGTAGTTTTTATTATTAGGGTGATTTTTATTATTAGGGAACCCAATGATAAATTTAACCCTTAATAAGAAACTATTCGTTTCGATTTCAAGATCAATTACATTTCCTTATATAACGCAATTAACATATTGCCAAAAATTGGATTTCGAAGCGGACCCTTTTAATAAAATTGAAAAAACAAAGAGCAAAAACTATTTTTTCCGATTTCAACATCAATTAAATTTCCTTTTGTAACGCAAGTAAAATATTGCCAAAAATTGGTTTTCGAAGCGGGCCCTAATAATAAATAAAAAACCACTAATATAGAATATTAAACATTTTCGGACGGACCCTAGTAAACACCTCGGGGCGGACTAGTTTTTATTAAGGGGCGAAGAACCACAAATGGTAGCTTTATTTTTAATTTGTTTTCTAAAGGGGATCAATTAAAAGTCACATTGGCCAATCTACAAAACCACCATGAATCCACCACCAAACCACGATAAATCCACCACAAAAGCATTATAATTGCACATCCAAAACAAAGTAAAATAACCTTAAATCCGCAACAAAACCACCATAAATTTAACGACAAAACCACCATGCATACATCATGTAAAATAATGAAAAATATTCGACACATGTCTGAACAGCTCAACACCGTCGGTGGACAGCCATGACAACGACAACAGTTCGACCATCCTTGGTTTCCGGCCCTCAAAGATTTATCAACGGTATTTCTGACAGGTGTCTGGTAGAATTCTGGTTTTCAGGTGGATTTCCAGGGGAATTCCGGTGGATTTCTTGGGATTTGCGGTTGGTTTCTGGTGGTTTTCTGCTGGAATTCAATGGATTTCTGATGGAATTCTAGGTGGCTTCTGATGGAATTCTGGTGGAATTCCAATAGATTTCTAGCCTCCATAAACCCTCCACAAATCCTCCATACATCCTCCATAAATCCTCCAAATCTTCCATAAATCATCTTTAAATCCTCCTATTTCCTCCATAAATCTTCCATAAATCCTTTAAAAATTTGCAATGGATCCTTCATAAATCATATTTTAATCCTCCACAAATCCTTCCATAAATCTTTCATAAATCATCCAAACATATTCAATAAATCCTCCGTAAATCCTCCATACATCCTCCATAAATCCTCCATACATCCTCCAAAATCATCCATAACTCCTCCATAAATCTTCCATGAATCCTCTAAACATAAATCATCTCAAAATCACCCATAAATCCGCCATAAATCCTCCATAATTCCTCAATAAATCCTCCAAAAATTCTCCATACATCCTCCATAAATCCTCCATAAATCCTCCCATTTCTTCCATTAAATCCTCCATAAACCTTCCATAAATCTTCCATAAACCCTCCATAAATCTTCCATGAATCCTCCATAAATCTTCAATGAATCCTCCAAAAATCGTCCATAAATCCTCCATAAATCTTTACCAGTAGTACCGCACAAGGCGGTGGCGGAAGTTTCAAAAATAGGAAACCTATAGGAGAGGTTGGTTGTTGCGAATCAGGGATGGCAGAGCGAAGCCACTGATGGACCGAAAGGTGCTTGAGGTCTCCTCTCTTTCTCTCTCTTTCTCTGACTATCTACCTACCTACCTACCTATCTATCTATCTATCTACCTGTCTATCTATGTATCT